TTTGAAAGAAATGAGCGGCTTTTGTCTGGCGCAGCCTTTTAGCGGCGTTTTAGCGTGCGGACGGACGTTGCGAGCGTTCAGGATTGCTAACCCTAATCACTTTTCTCCGGAGATGAAAACGCGTGAAAATTCGCATCCTTCATACGGTACGCGCCAGTAATACCTTGAACTTGAGCACACGCATGAAATGCGCCAAATAAAAAATCCGGGCGATGTTCGAGCACACAAATGCTTAGAAATCACCACTGTAGTCGAAGTAAACAAACACGACGACACGGGCGTTTCTGCCGTCTTGAGAGCGCCGCCACGACACCGCCGCTCGAGTAGGTGGATCTTCCCTTCTAGTACGTGCTGAATTATCATAGCGACACACAGCGAAAATTCACAGTAAAGGATAGCGCTTTTACGCGGAACGATGAGATGAACACAACGATCACAACGTTGATCACAACCGATGCCATGTTTGCGGAGAAGCAGCCGGCCCGCGACCGGCATGCGACGCGCGCGAACACTTCTCGACCTGCGATTGGTCTGTCGTTGCGGTTGTTTCGGATGTTTTCAAGGAAGCGGAGGGACGCACGCACGTGAACGACACGTGCATGCGTCCCTCCGTCGCTAGGGCAACTGAAGCCTCTCTCTTCGCCTCTCCCGCTTCTTCGAGCAACCTCCTTGCCCCGCGAGTGCCGCTTGCGCAACGCTTGCGGCTCGCGCCGTCAGCGCCGTTATCTAGTGTCGCACAGGGAAGCGTGCTCGCTGCTCCTTTCGTCGGCGCGGTCGGCGGGCTGTGCCAGAAACCGCACTATAACCGGTATTTCCCTTCGCGCGCCTGCGTTTTAAGTGGTATGTTATTACATGGAGTTCTATGGGAGGCGAACCGGTGGTTTAAAAAAACCGCGTTATACCCGGTCCTGCACTATAAGCGGTTACGTTGTAAGTGGTCTATACTGTAGTGCAAATATTTTAAGCCTACATATCAATGAAAGCTACGGGCACAAGATTGCAGCTTAGAAGCATCCTTTTACGGAACGAGCGCTTGCGCTAGAGGGATGAGTTTCAAAGCAAGGGGTATACGTTAGCTCACGGTTGTTGCCTTCTCTGCCCAGTCAGCTTGAAGGTGTTTGGTGCTCGGAATGACGCAATAATATGCACAGTTTGCATCTAGATAGACCTGAAAGCATGTGCCGGCTCGAGATTATGGCCATGCTTCGGCCGTGCAAGGGCACGAAACATGTCGGCACTGTTCATCACTCACGTGCAATCAACGGATTTGGCGTGATAGTAAAGCACTGTTTGACAAGGGTTTCAGGTACGAAGAAACTAATTTTCAAGTTTTAGTTCAGTGTGTCTCCCGCCCAGCTGCACTAGATGCACACAGATAAATCATTGTTTTCTAGCTATTCAACTTTTCCTGCCGCGACACCAAACATTGCCTACCTCACTTGTTTTTTTGTTGTTTTTTCATGTCTCTCTTAATGAAGCCCTTAAGATTCAATCATCTTGAGGGCTTCATTGAAAGCTGGAACTAGGCTGCGTTTTACACTTGTTGCACGAAGAGTGTAATTGACACGAAATCAACACCATAGAAGCCGCCCATTTGGTTTTGTTGCTGTGATCAGTTTGTGAAGCTAAAAGCTTGTGCTCCTAGCCTTGCCTACGTTCCATACTTTTTAATGTGCATGCTCGGTCTTTATGCACTGCATTGGCATAATAAAATCGCCTCCCCACCTGTAGGAATCCATAAAATGTGGAAACAGGATCCCGCACTATAAAATCCCCAGTGTCATTCATAATACAGAATATCTAAAAGCTGGGATGTATAAGGAAAGGGTTGTGTGACGGTGCAAAAATGTGCAATGAGGGTTTGAGAGGAAAAATGGTACAAAGGAACACATAACTCAGAAGAAAGAATGAAATTCCCAACATTTGCCAACGTGAATCGAACCCGTGGCCCCGAAATAGTGATCCTGCATGCCAAGGAGAGACTCGGAAACTGAGGGATTACTTTGCTACACCAAGGGCAGGAAGCGTATGGGTAACCGTGCGACTATATCATGCAACCATACCGTGCAATTTGACACGATGGAAAGGTTCAAAAGAGCCATGGGAAAGTTGGCAAGCACATAGGTTAAATGCGTGACTCTATTATACGACCATATCAGGTTTTTGACATCACGGAAAAAATCAGATATGCACGATTATGGACGCTTGATTTACCTTAATTCCACGGATGAAGTCTGGACAGCACATCCTGTGTCCATAGAACCGAGGTAATTTTGGTTGGAGGTTTCCGACGTCCCCTTCTCGCCTGGGTGCAGGTGTACCCGGGAAGTCAGCCGGGATCCCTGTACGGGACCCCCCAGCCTCAACAGGCCCAGGGGGGCCAGCCAGGGGGCAGTGTGGTGCCCCCTGGGAAGGGGGCGCCCCAGGGGGCTCCGACGCCCCCTTACCAGCGGGAGGTGTACCCAAAGCGCCACCCGGACTTTATGAAGCCCCCACCCCAGCAGGAGCCCTACCCGCCACCACACATGGCTGGGCCGTACCCTGCACCCCACCCGCAGCAGGCTCCCTCCCAGCAGTACCCAGGTGGGTCCGCCTCCTCGCCGGGGAACGACTCCTCGCGTCGCACCGACGTCGGTTGCCCTAGCAACCGTTTTGTTGAAAGCAGTTCCAATCGGTCGTAATACAGTCACACCCACGTGTCAGAATCGGCCTTTAGGTCGGCTGGAGCTGCTTTTGATCTCTGGGAATCGGAGTCTACGTCGTGGCATGGGGTCGCTTGGCTGGCTAACGCTTGTTTGGCTATTGTTGGAAATAGATTGCGCAATCGCAGAGGGGCGACATTTCGTTTATTTATTTCTTTTTTATTTATTTATGTATTTATACTACTGGTCCTTGTTCAGGACCATTGTAGAAATGTTGCATAAATGACAATACACAATTAAGTACAAGTTCTAAATAGCATACAATATAGATTATGATAAAAGTAAAACAAGTTTAGTAATCAGTCTGCGTTGAACTGTTTTCTTGCATAGTTTAGGAGTGATGTTAAAGAATTGGAGTTTACTGCTTCATTGAATAGGTTATTCGAGCCTTTGAAGGTGTGAGGAAAAAATCAATGCTGGAATACATTTTTACGTGGCAATGGTTCTGCAACATAATACTGATGTTGGCTGCACATATTGGAACGATCAGAAAATGATACCGTAATATCCCGGTCCGCAATTAGCTATATTTTTTTCAAAAACGCGGAAAGAGCTTATTTTGAGTAATTGCAGGGCCCTGGCCAATTGTAACCTCGGCAGAAATTGCACTACTTAGCCGCGGCGAGGGATAAGCGCACCTACTGACGACTGGGAATGACAGTCGTCTTCGGTTCATCGCCCCTATGTGCAATCATAAGTTTTGCCAGTCACAAAATCTAAACCTAGCTTGTTTTTTTCTTGTTTTTTTTTTTAATAATTGCACACTGAAAGTTAGCTTCCTCTTTATTTTCACCCGATTTGCTTTTACTTTTAGGTGGGCTATCTCTCGGGACATTACGGTATGTACTTCTCTTGATCGGTGTCGATCATGCTGCGAATTTCCTGGTACAGTAATTTTCGGTCTGTTAAGAGTATTTCTGGTATTAGGGGTTGGTAGGTGTGCTTTATCGAGTAAGTCTGTAACTGAAGCTAATCTACTATTATATTGCCAGAAAGTAAATCTAACCACTTTTCTTTGTACCATTTCTAGCCTATTGATGTTTGTTTTAGTGTGAGGACTCCCAAATTCCACCTGCGTATTCCAGGATAGGGAGAGCAAAAGTTCTGTATGCTAGTAATTTAGTATTGGGAGGTGCCTGTCGTAATTTGCGTCTTAAGAACCATAGTTTTGTAGAAGCTTTATCTATAACTGCAGTAATATGTCTTGAACCATGGTTAAAACCGTTAAAAGACAAGTGTGGGCGCTACTCACAACTGTATTTGAAAAAAGAAAATAGAAGTACATATGTATACAGGGTGTTTCACGAAAAGTGGACAAATTGGATATGGCGAAAACTATGTGTCGCAATAAAAAAAGGCTTGTGTCGTTTTGGTCCTGGGCCAGGGGCCTATTCAGGAAAATTCATAAAGTCCGGGATAATTAAATTGTTAATCATTCTTGCGTAATTAACTTTTTTAATATTGTGTTTAAGGGCATGGTTTCAATTAGAAAATTGCTCAGCATCATTGAAAAACACTAAATCAACAAATTGCAGAACGATAGAAGGCACGCAAAGCATTTTATGGCTTTCTGAAAAATTACACAAATTCTAGGGGTTTTTAAGTTTCGGTTTGCAATCGGAGCGCATCTCGGCCTCCACGGCACCACACCCCGTGAAGTAATACTGCAACCACCTCTTCTGCGCTGTCCTCGCGAAACGCAGCAGAGGCTGGTTGCACTAATACTGTTACTGTTACTGTTTTATGGCTCCCACGTCTTTATCAATTGTTTATCACTTGTTTAGAGTAACAAGGTTACTGTTACTTTTTTTATGGCTCCCACGTTTTTATCAAATTACCGCTTTTATCAAATTTTTTTGCCATCCCGTTGACTTCGTTATAACGAGGGATTACTGTAGAATGCCAAGATGTGTGTTTTTGATAAATTAATGTAAACAGGTTGAAGGGTGTGTATCCAGGCTCATGCTTAGCCTAGGTGATGATAGATGTACAGTTGAACCCGGATATATTGAATTCAAAGGGGGTCGTAAAATTGTTCGATATACCTATAATTCGATATACAAAAATATGTTAAATTAAGCTTGAGTTGAAATTTCCTGGCATCTCTGCTAATACAGAAGCTCGCGACAAATGGGAGCTTACCAAATAGAGCACCCAAGAGCCGCTACATACAGTGGAGCATAGTTATCGGAGACTGCAAACATGCCCCACTTACGCTCACCTGGCCGGGACCTCCACACAGCATAAGCGACAAAACACTAAAATAATAATTCCAAAACCTAAAAACAGAAAAGTGAGATGCATAAAAAAAATCACAAAGAAAAAGTTAAGCAAGGAACAAAAAAAAAAAAATAAATAAATAAAAGAAGAAAACTCACCAAATTTAAGCAACAAAGAAAAGGGGGAAAAAAAAAAAAGAGCATAGCAATACAGTCGTCGATCGTTTTTTCGGACCCCGATAATTCGGACTTGTTCGATATTTCGGACCTAAACGAGGAACCATGACTTACCCCATAGAAATAGTGCATATTCATGACCAGTATTTTGGACAGCTTGAAGTTTGAAAGTTTGATTATTTGGACAAAATCGTCGCGAGCCAACAGCGGGAAACACTACCGAGAAGCGGCCATTTTGAATTCTATGTTGGCTGCAAATGGATTGGCTTGGTTTGGCAGCGCTAGTTAATTATTCCCGATTACTTCCGCTAGGCGACGCTATGCTAGCCCTTTTTTTCCATTTACAGTGTAGACCGCATATAACGTACGTCGCGGGAGTCGCGAAAATCCGCACTATAAGCGGTACTGCGCTATAACCAAAACATCAGTTTTTCAGGCCAAAATGCATGCCATGAGACAACTTACCTTTGTAAAAGAATTTATGTTAGATGAAAAATAAAGCTTAGTTTGAGGAAAGTCTTTATTTCACCAGACTAGTACACTTCCCTCTCAAGTGTGTCACACATTTTGAAAGAAATGAGCGACTTTTGCCTGGCGCAGCCTTTTAAGGGCGTCGCGGGTTGCGGACGGACGTTGCGAGCATTCAGGATTGCTAACCCTAATCACTTTTTTTCGGCGATGAAAACGCGTGAAAGTTCGCATCCTTTATACCAGGCACGTAGCCAGGATTTTGGTTCGGGGGGGGGGGGGCCGCTTATGACAAAATGCTTTATGAGGGGGAGGGGGGAGAGGAGGTTCCAGCAAAATTACAGATTTCGGGGGGGAAGGGGGGGGGTTCCTTTTTTTTTATCTTGATATGTGTTTACTAAGGCTGCAATTTCTATTGAATTTGCATGATTTGACCACATGAGGGGTTCCTTTTTTTCTTTCATTTCTTTTCATAAAATCACACTTTTTGGTGCAAAACATGAAAACGGGCATTAGTATTTCAGAAGTTTCTATTCTAGTTGATTAGGGGTGCACAAAGAATTCCACTCTTGATGGCCGTAGTCCAACTGCTTTGAAACTCGTTTTTAGTAAAACTTCTCCCAATCGCCATGACTAGAGACCGCAAAATCGTTGAGGACGAGGTGCGCGAAAGCCCTGCGCACGCGAGCAGCGGCTTCACACCGGTGCGACCAGACAACACGCGAGGCGGAAAGAGCGCGGGCGAGGAGGAAAGTATGCACTGGGCAACCAAGCCCGCAACCAGTGGGAGTGCATGCTTGGATCGTGTGCTTGGTGGAGCCAATGAGTGTGATCATAGCGCGTTCTGGATTTTGACATTTCGTGCACTCTTCCACGGTGCTGCGGACATGTCACCGGCACCATTCAAGAGGGAAGGAAACTCAGTTTTTAATTTGTTGCTAATTTTGCGTCAATTCAGAACTCGGTACAAAAAGCGAATTTTACTGACTACAGGGGTGGAACGGCTGCGCCATTTGCGCCAGACGTAGTTGTCTGCGCCATCCTGCGCCATTTTGCGAAAACACTGCCACAGCCAATACCTCGCGCCATTATGCACCAAATCGCAAATCTTGCGCCAAATTTGTTTTTATTTTGTCTTGGTTTCGGTTTTTATCGACTCGATTGGCAACAATGAGCGCGTTTAGCTTGGTCGGCCTTGCAATCCTTTGTTCTGTTTATTCTCCCTGTGTATCCCGAGTCGGAAGCGCGCAAAAAGACTCGGGGTTCGGATTCCAAGCGCTACAATCACCTGCAAATGGATTGTTATTCTTCAACCATAAGCGGTTAGGCCAGTCGTCCAAAATGAGGTGGAGTCGTTAAGCGTCGATTGCCTGAGGCTCTGCGGCCCGGTATCCGGACATCGGCGAGTTGAAAACACATGAGCGATATATTCCTTTTAGTACTGCATTGTTAGAAGATGAAACTGCATTCCCGCAAGATGAATCGTGATTTGACAGAGCTAAAATGCGGCCAAATCCAAAACCTTGCCGGCCAGCAGCTGTCACGCGAGCGGTAGATCTGCTCGGCGTACTTTAACCTTGCTCCTGCTTATCGCTTTGAATCCGATAACTCTGTTAATCGCAGTCTGCCGCTTCGATATTGAGTTGCGTTATAAGATAAACTCTAAATGTGTTGCCCTGTTCCTCCGCGCAACTGCACGTCCGTTGCTTACGCGCGTCACCTGGTTCGCACATATAATTACTATGTCGAGCACGTGTGGGTTGTGCTATAAGCAATGCTGGTTTGCATTTTGAGCAGCTGAAAGCCAATCAGAAAATATCAAGGACACTATCTTTAGAAACATACGGTACTTGCTTTTTGGTTCTCATTAAGGCTCACAAAGTTTCAAGTTTTCGCATTTGTTACACTGTTATTCCATCTACCTAGGTTCCTAACCACACATGTTCATCTGTGCTGCTAAGCACAATTGGAATTGCTCCCGTGTTTGTCTAAGACTCAAGCTGAAGTCCAATGAAAACTGATATGAGCTGCTCCTAGCCTGCTCCAGAATGTAGTTTTAGCTGCTCCCAACCTCCTCCAAAACAGCTATTTCAGCTGCTTCCGTGGCTGCTCCCAAGTACATTTCATGAGTTCCACCCCTGTGATTAGCTTATTACAACATAAAGAACAGTAAAAAAATAATTTCACAAACTCTGATTTTTTTTCTTCTCCATTTTAAAATTTGCATTCCCCGTTAAATACAACAACACATCTGGAAAACTGAAATGCTGGGGTGAGATGTTCACCCTATTTGTAGCCACAGCAACGTTTCTGCAGCTTGCTGCCCCGTCATCAGTTTGTTGCTACAGTTGAACCTCGATTTAACGAAGTCGTTAAAATCCACAATTTACTTTGTTACATTGAAATTTCGTTAAATTGAAATTTGGTGCCTAGCACGTAAAAAATTAACAAGATGTGTTAGGGTGCAAACACTCACCAGAAGCAATCTTTATTTGCTATGAAAGTAGTCCCTGACCTTCGCCTGCGACTTCTGCGACATTAATGTCGGCGTCACACAACGTTCAAACGTCCACAGTGTATGCATCGCATCTTGTTGGTCATGTATACCGCATCAGCACGTTAGTCGCGTCGAGCACCTCAGGGCTGCTCGGCACCTTGGAAGGGTCTTGGGCGTCCACCTCGCTGTCATCGTCTTCGATTCGCCGAGCACTTTCTTCACCATGGAATCATCAGTAACTTCTTCCGTTGCGACAACACACGAGTGTCCCATCGGGGCAGACTCGTGGTGCACATTCAACTGTGCAGCCACCAAGGGAGAGGTAGCCCCTCCACTCAAGCACAAGCTCCCAGCGCATGTTCAGGCAGCGCTCCTGCCGATTTACAAGCGCCTCTCAGCAAGGCAGCTCCTTGAAAGGTGCCAGCAGGGCAAAACTCAAACGTCATCTGGACCATCCAGTCCAAGAGTCAGTTTGCCTCTCTGATGAGTGTTGAGAGTGCTGTTGCAAAGGCAGTCTGCAGGTTTAATAGTGGCTTCAGAAAGGCCCTGCAAGCCATCCCCTGTCAACTGGGGTTCAATCCAAGCTCGTGCTCTCTGCGACGGGCAGCCAAGAAGGACGCCAGGCGGATCAAGAAGGCCAACTGAGTGCACGGTGCAGCTTCAAAAAAACTGAAGACAGTGGCAAGGCACCATCCGAGCATGCCTTCCACTTCAAAGTACTACCGCCCAGGTGGATTCTAGGAATTCCACGTTTGTGCCGCATCGGACAGAACAAAATACTTTCGCATAGTTTTCCCCAGGTTCTACATGTTGGGCAACTGTCTTGACTCAACCCTCCGGCATTTCATGAACAATGATGATATAATGCTTCTGTCTTTTGCATATAATACCTGAGACATGGAGCAGTGCTATAAAGCTATCAGTTTGCATGTGTCTTCCATAAATATTTTTTTATTAATATTTTTTTTAATGGTTTGCATGTAAAAACATAAAGGAATCTTTTATAATTTTTTTCTACATTTACTGAGATTGCAAAAATAAACTAACAGCTTCTTTGGACTGAATGGGTTTTGTAAGTGTAGTAACATAAACATCTGCAATTTTTACCTAATTAATTAACTAATTTTGGGATAAATTTCTGAGTTAAGCGCCATTCACACTCTTGCAACCGAGTAAGACCGAGAGAGACCAGACCGGTTTTTAAGTGTCTTGCGACGTCTTAGGACCGGAAAGGTATCCCTAAAGTAATTGCTGTTTTGAGGTTGCCACAATTACCTACATATATGTACAAAATTTCATTCAATTTGGTGCTAAATAACGAATATGTTTAATTGCCACGTTCTACCTCAAGATATTGCAAAAGTTTTCCGCTGCAAAAGCTACAAAAATTGTGAACTATGCAAGGTCTGAAACTGTACATGCTTGGCTTGTTCTAATGCTTAGCACTTTTAGGAACTTGGTGAAGAGAATGATGTTCAGACGCCTGATGTTTCCCTCGTACTCGTTTGTTCTGTTGGCAGACCGTGGCCAGTACCCCTACCGGCCACCGCACATGATGACACCACCTGCGTCTTCCATGCAGCAGCAAGGTGGGATCTTTTTTCACATTGAGCGATGCTGTCCTGTCCAGGGGATTGTTGTCGGGCATATGGAACGTTACTTGATGGTGATTTTATATGCGGCACATTTTAATAGATGTAACGAGAGTTTATATGGGACACTTCCACTCTCAGTGCTGTGGAAAAGTTGGCAAAAGCAGAGAGCTGGATGTGTGGGAAATTAACCCCTTCCTGACTGCGCCCATAGGCCATCGATTGCTGGTGATCGATGATTTCCAAGCTCCGTTAAGAAATTAAATTTAGTGCAGAGAATTTTGTTCCCCAATCTCGTGGATAGCCGAGGAACTATAGTTTCAGTTTCAAGATAGGTTTGACCTTTATCACAAGCTCGTGGACTGTCATAAATGGATTTGGGAACGGTGGCTGCACTCGTCTAACACGGCTAACTGCTTGCATCCGTCTTTGTAACAAAGGTGGCATTATTTACATAATTCAACTGTATTGTGGCCTATGTTTAGTCCTCAAGAGCTCTAGGGACACTTTAATTGATGTTATAGGTGCTGCTTAACAGATGGTTGTTGGTAAGCATCACTATAATTTCCAATGCTGTAATGAGCCGGCGTGCACGTTTTATGTTCCCAACAAGTCGGACAAAAATCCTAAATATGAAGGAACTGCAATCAAGGTTATGACAGAACCAAGGTAGAACACAACGAAAGCATTCTGCTGGGGATGTGAGGTGTACTATCCGTGCTTCACCAATACAAGCATTCCTGCGCTGAAGAGCGCACCAAAGGCTAACTCTCTGGCGAGCCAAATAGACGTCAGTTATTTTACGCCGACTTTCAGAAGTACCATATTTACACAATCGGATGTAGACTCGACTAGAGGTCAACCCCTCTAACATTGCACATCAGGAAAAGCACAAAAAGATAACTTTTGGGGCGCATTTTACAGCGAACATGCGAGGACGGCAGGACACCTTTTTCGAAAGTCCAGCCTCCAGCACATGCTCGATGCCTTCTGGCGTGCTTTGGCTGTGCATGCATGCGCGAGGCACACAAGGTGGCCAGGCGCACGAGATTCCAGGCGTTGTCAGAACCAGGAAGCTCATGCTGGGGGCGGGACAACTGAAGGCTGCACCCTGTCGTTCTCATTCTGTCCGCGACTGGATACTACGATTCGGCTTGCACTGGTGCTGTCGCTGCCGTCGTCATCACTGCTACTTTCTCAAAGCACGTCGTCGGCGTCGTCCAACCAAATCTTGCTCTTTGCAACCAACATCATCAACCGCATCTTCCATGCTTACTTGGTGATCAGGTTGCACGTCACGGGTAGGGACCGATTCGGCGCTTCTGCGGCAGACGTTGGAAGGCATTCCGACCTGTTCAAGGTTGGCCCGTGGAAACCTCTTCGTTTGCCATCACAGTTGGGATTCCGCGCCGTCGCTCACGCCACTTTAGCACCACCTGCTCCGACGGGTCGAACTTGCAGCCAGCAGCGCAGTTGTCGGTTGCTTCTGGATGAAGAATGGCCATAAACGAACACCGAAAACGTAAACTGCCCGGATCACGCACGTCGATACAGGAAAACATATTTTACGACAACGAAAGAGGGGCGTGGAAAATAAACAGGCATGTCCCGTTTTTGTCATCGAAAATTAGAAACCAACACGCTCAACCATATAGATTACAGAAAATCGTAGTTGGCGCTCAAGCATCACCGCGACACTCGATCGAACCACGGGCGACCGTGAATTGTGCGAGCAACTACAAAGAAAGGCAGCAGGGAGTGAGATGCGAGGCTGTTCCAGCCGTTCAGTGGCCGTTCCAGAGTGGCTTTTTCAAGGAAGGTCGCCACCCCCAAGAGTCCGGCACGCCGTGCGCCATTCATCGCCGTGCATTCGGGCTAATTTGCGAATAGCTATCAGGAATACTCGTTCGCACAACTTATAAAGAAGGAAAAAAAAAGGACGAACTTGTAAAATGAGCACATCCACTAGCTCAATGCTACAGGTACAGCCGGCTGAACTTGTAACGAGTCAAGGTGGTCTTGGTATCGTGATTGTTTCGTTTTTGTCAGCGGTGGAATGCTTTGGTTCGATTATAAGTCAACCCCCTCCCCACTTTAACTTTTCAAAAATTGAAAAATGGGTCGACCTACACTCGTGTAAATACGGTAATAGCCGTGGCAGGGTGTCTAGCGACCGGGGAAACCGGGAATAATCGGGGAAATTTTAATTACCGGGAAAAATCGGGGAATCCTCAGGGATACAGTATAGACCACTTGCAACGTAACCGCTTATAGTGCAGGACCGGGTATAACGCGGCTTTTTTAAACCATCGGTTCGCCTCCCATAGAACTGAATGTAATTACATACCGCTTAAAATGCAGGCGCGCGAAGGGAAATACCGGTTATAGTGCGGTTTCTGGAACAGCGCGCCGAGCGCGCCGATTGCGCCATTGACCGGCGCAGCGAGCACGCTTCCCTGTGCGACACTAGATAACGGCGCTAGCCTGGCTAACCGCAGGCGGCACTCGCGGGGCAACAAGGTTGCTCGAAGTCGTGGCTCGAAGAAGCGAAGAGAGAGGCTTCAGTTGCCATAGCAACGGAGGGACGCACGCACGTGTCGTTCACGTGCGTGCGTCCCTCCGCTGCGTTGGCATTGGAAACGACCGCAACGACAAACCAATCGCAGGTCGAGGAGAGGAAGTGTTCGCGCACGTTGCATGCCGGTCGCGGGCTGACTGCTTCTTTCTGCAAACATGGCGTCGGTTGTGATCGTCGACGTAGACGGGTGGAAGCTCACCGTTCCGCGTAAAGCGCTATCCTTGACTGTGAATTTTCGTTGTGTGCCGCTATGATAACCCAGCACGTACTAGAAAGGAAGATCCACCTACTCGTGCGGCAATGTCGTGGCGGGACTCTCAAGACGGCAGAAACGCCCGTGTCGTCGTGTTTGTTTACTTCGACTACAGTGGTGCTTTCTAAGCATTTGTGTTTTCGAACATCGCCCGGATTTCTTATTTGGTGCATTTCACGCCTGTGCTAAAGTTGAAGGTATTACTGGCGCGTACCGTATAAAGGATGCGAATTTTCACGCGTCTTCATCACCGAAGAAAAGTGACTAGGGTTAGCAATCCTGAACGCTCGCAACGTCCGTCCGCAACCAACGACGCCGTTAAAAGGCTGCGCCAGGCAAAAGTCGCTCATTTTTTCAAAATTGACACACTTGAGAGAGAAGTTTACTAGTCTGGTGAAATAAAGACTCCTCTTCATCTAACATAAAATATTTCTTTTACAAAAGTTAGTTGTCTTATATGGCATGTATTTTGGCCTGAAAAATTGATGTTTTGGTTATAACGCAGTACCGCTTATAGTGCGGATTTTCACGACTCCCGCAACATACGTTATATGCGGTCTACACTGTATTGTCAAAAAGCAAACCTAGTCAGGGAAAATGAGCCGGAAACACCATTGAGTGCCCTGAGCAAAGACTTCAAGATTTGGGAGCAAAAAAATGGGCAATAAGTTCTGCTTTGAGCGGAGCGCGGGCAATTCTCACCCGATGTAGAGTTTTCTACCCATGCAAAGGGAACAGCCGACAAATCCAGTCAAAGCCTTGATTGGATTGACGGCGCGACACTAGGGTAAATCTAGCTAGAGCTACTAAATAACAAATGGGAAAGCTGCAGACCCCAATCCAATCCAAGCCTTAAGGGGGGACGCGGGTCTTAAAATATCAAAAAATCGCGAAAAATTCTTTTTTTCAAAGTTCACGATTTTGAGGTCTACATATTCCAGAGTATCTCCTCACAAAATATAAATGCTCAATTCGATCTATAAATATGAAACTAATGACAATTTGTAAGCGTTGACAGACCTGACTTCAAGCATAAACTCTAAAACTTCAAGCCGTCGGAGCTCCGCAACGGCTCATCCGATCGGAGCCATCTTGGTCTTGTTCGAAAGCTGGTTTCCCGCGCTTATTTTTCCCGCGCTCCAAGGCGGTGTACCCCTCAAGGCCACAACGTCATCGATGCCGCACAAAAGGCCGTCACCAGCGCTAGGAAAGACGCTGATTGGGCAAAGCGCGCGCTTCTCCGAGGCGCAGCTCTCTCATTGGCCGAAACGCGCGCCTCCTCTCCTGGCTTCCCCGGCGCGTCGTCCCGGTCGCTCCGCAAGCTCCCGCGTCGTCTGCTTTCGCTCGCTCCGCCGTTCGAGACGCACGCTGTCTTCGCATTTCTCCACTTTCTATATCAATATTTTCAGCGTTTTTCTTGTGCTTCCTAGTGTTTTTGTATGTTCCCTGTCTTCTTCGCATCGTTCATGTAAATATTTTGATACCTCCACTTTGCTTAGCTTTCCGTTTTTGTATATATTTGCCCTCCTGCGTCGTAGTTCTTTGTTTCGTTCTGCCAGCGCGCTTCGAGTTCTGATGGCTGGAGACGCCCGTTTGAAGGCCAGCACGCAAAGACTAAACACAAAGAGGAGACGTGCCTGGAACAAGAAGACCTCGGCATCGAGGAAAACGACACCTACTTCGCCGATGCCGCAAGCCGCTCTACCGTTGGTGGACGCGACTGGACCGGGTTTGTGTTCGACAGCTTCGCCGATGCCTCAAGCCGCTTTTCCGCTCGTGGACGTGGCTGGACCAAGTTCGTCTAGGGATCGAATCGACACTGTGTTCTACACGGAGGAGGAGTGCGTGGAGCGCGAACAACGTGCGGACGACAGAAAGGCTTCGTTGGCAGATCAGTCGGCGACTTCACGGAAGTTTGAGCTCCTCGACGTCTGCATGGAGAGTGACGACACCTACCGCGGCACGGAGTACGTCATCGTGGACATGACAGTGCTACAAGAACTCTTTGCGTCCACGGCATGCGGCAAGTGCGGAATGGCTACCGTAGGACTTTCGAAGTGCGAAGAGAGGAAATACGGCCTGGCAGTGAAGTTGGTCCTTACGTGTTCGAGCTGCGATTTCGCTGAGAGTCGATTTTCTTCTCCACGAGTCGCCGGGGAAGCCAAGATTACGCCCTTCGAGATCAACTTGAGGGCGATGAAGGGAATACAGAGCATAGGAAAGGGGGCGACTGCGCTTGCAGACTTCTGTGCAACCTTGAACCTCTCCCACCGAGGGCTTCATCATAAGACGTTCAGGGGACACATGGACACCATGGTGCAGGCTTGCCAGGCAGCAGCAACAGCCACAGAAGCAGCGAGTGTTGAGGTGGTGAAGGGCGTCTACGAGAGCTTCCTCAATCCTCCCGGAAACGTAGATATAATTTTTGACGGCACATGGAAGACGCGCGGACACAACTCCAACATCGCAGTGGGGTGCATCCTCGAGCTGTACACTGGCCTGGTGCTGGACCACGTTGTCCTCTCAAGGTACTGCCGTGGCTGCCAGGGTGCACCTGACCCAGATGACGACAGCTATGGGGACTGGGTGATCAACCACAAGTGCATGAAGAACATTGACTGCAATGCAGGACGTATGGAAACCGAGGCAGCCCTCATTCTGTTCAGGCGGTCCCTGGCGAAGAATGGACTGCGCTACACCACCATCCTTTCCGATGGTGACAGCCGCACCTTCCATGCCCTGACACAAGACAGCGTCTATGGATATCTCGACATTGAGAAAAAAGACTGCCTGAACCATGTACACAAGCGGATGGGAGCAGCTCTTCGTACCCTGGTGGAGAAGAAGAAGGCACAGGGAGAGTCGCTCGGAGGAAAGGGAAAGCTGACCCAGGACAAGATAAAAAAAATAACAAACTACTATGGGTACGCCTTGAGAAGCCACAAGCATGATGTGCCAGGGATGGAAAGGGCAGTGCAAGCAACTTTGTTGCACATGACGTCGTCAGATGAAGCCCCGGACCACAGCCACTGTCCCGAGGGGGACAGTTCCTGGTGCTCCTACAACCGGGCACTGGCCAACCATGAGGAGCCACCACCACACAAGAACCCACTGCCAGGCTTTGTTCGCACTGCGCTGGAGCCAGTCTTTGAGAGGTTGGGCGACCGGGCACTCCTGAAGCGCTGCAGTGATGGCATGACGCAGAACGCCATAGAGTGCCTACACTCTGTGATCTGGGGCCAGAACTCTAAGAACGCACATGACTCTCTGCTGTCAGTGGAGAGGGCTGTCGCTGAAGCCGTGTCACGCTTCAACCAGGGAATGGCCAAGACGAGCAAGGCTGTAGCAGCACAGCTTGGCTACAGCACAGGTAGCTGCCTGATTCGCAGGAGCCTTGAGAAGGACAGGCGGAGGCTTCGCAAGGCCAACAAGGCTCACTCTGAGAGTGAAAAGGTGAAGAAGAGGATGGCCAAGAGACACAAGCCTGCCAGGACCCAGGACTACAGCCCAGGACTGCTATGACCGTGTGCGCACATTGGATACTACTGAACTGATTTCGTGGTTTCATGTTGTTTTTTTTTCTTTGTCAGGTGCCATTTTTCTACGGAGGTTTTGATTATGTTTCCATAAGCCGATTGCAATAAATTTGGTGTTGTTGTTTTCAGCAACAACTGAACTGCACCCTAAAGCTTTTCTTTTTTCTCTAGACTTGATATATAAAAGTGCCAACATCGGTGAATCTTCAAGTGCGATTTTCTCAGCTTTGTCTTTTTTTGTCTAGAGCCGTTGCCTTACGGAAGTTTTCATAATGTTTGCATAGGCAGATTTCAGTAAGCTTGGTATCATTGTTTTCAGTAACAACTGAGGTGTATCCTAAAGCTTTCCTTTTTCGTCTAGAATCAATAGATCAAAAGTAATTAGCTGAAACGTGGATTATCTAGTGACAAGTTTTTGCTTTGAAATTCCATGATTTATTTCTGGTAGACAAAATGGCTTTATAAACATTCAATTAGCTTTAGGATATATGGTGAACCCTTGGAAATCACTGCATATTGTTAAAATATAAATTTTTTGATGTGAAATTACCATAACGACCCGTAAAAGATTACCTTTTAGGAATTTTATATTTTGCATATCTTTTGTTCTAAAAGAGATATCTGAAATTCAACTGCAGATTTGAAATCACCATCCAGTGATACATATGCATGCCAACTTTCAGCAAGGTATCTCGATAAATAAAAAAACATATTTAAGTACCCTAGTCCCACCTTAAGCCAAAAGTATCCAAAAGTGTGCATGTGGCAAACGCCAGCCATATGGCCATGCTACCATTCGGTTATTGACGTGTGTGGTTGAGCGTCGTGTTTCCATTGTGTTTCCGGAAGTGGCCTTTTCACTGACAATGTCGGCGGAAAGAAAGTGCTCGTTTAGTCCGGACTGGACGAACCCGAATACTTCAGAATATGCAAGTTGGATTAAGCCCATGCAAAATTATCCTGTGGCTCACTGCTCACTGCCTTGTGTTGTAATGGTCTTATATATTTAACCGCCTTTACAATGGTTAGGGAACTTCACCTGAAATTGTCAGGGAAAACCTAGAAACGTCAGGGAATTTGAAAATAATAATTTGCTAGACACCCTGCGTGAGTGTGGGGCACATTTCGTATATTTCGAATTTTACAGCAAAGTGGTTTTTTGCTCGTGTGCAGTGACTGAAACTACGCTCCACGCGTCACACGCGTACACCTTCCCTGTATGAAAGATTCAAAGTAAATAGCTAAAATAAACTGTTGATGAATGTGCGTGCAAGATGCCATTTGTTTTAGACTTTTGCTTTAGGACAGTTACCGCTGCAGACGCCGGCATGCGCGGCTCATGGAACAGCATTCCCTGCATTCTCCTCCATGCTTGGGTAATTTAGCAATAGGTCTATTCAGTACATTAGCTATTACTAGGCACCGTTTTCAAGACCAGTAGACACTCAGGTAGATAATAAATGTTTCTCGAAGATTTACCGCTGTGCGACCTGCGTCGGCCATGTCTACGCTGCAGAAAGAGATGAAGCGGTGGAAAGACGAAAAAGCTCTTGCAAAAGCTTCAATGCCTTCTGGGCCTAGTTCAAGGTTATGCCTGCTTGGGAAAGGAGCATGGCACAGAGAGAGAGGTAAAAAGGATGGAGAGAGGACGGCAAACTCAAATAATGGGAAATTGATACTCAGATTCCTATGGGGGTTTCACGGGACCTGCGTATGTGAACGTAGCAGACGGGAAAATTTATCAACCTGGAATGTGCCGAGGTTCTGCCGTAGTTTGTGGACGGTTGTACGTGCGTGCAAACGGTTACAGTCGAGCGTCGGTGAACCCACGACTGCCGCCCCCTTCCCCACTCTCCACAGCGGTTGCTAACGCGCGTGTCCTCTACTCGTTTTCCCCCGACGCAGGCTGGGGCAGGGAGGGCCAGTACCGTGGCTACCAGCAGGGCTCCCCTTACGGGGGCCCCCCCCACCCGGGGGCCCCCCCTGAGCGCTGGGAGGGGCCCCGAATCGGAGAGGGCGCCCCGGGGGCCGCCTGGGCTGTGTCGAGGGGGCCCCAGGGGGAGCCCTACCCGCCCCAGGGGCCCCTCATGGCCCAGCAGACCAGCCAGCAGGGCCCAAACGCCATGGCTCACAAGATGGCCACGGCGGCCGCCTACGCTAGGGACCGGGCGTACCCGCCCGCGGGCAAGCTGCAGGTGGGTCACGGACAAGCTGGCTCGTGTTCTTTAGACAAGCCTTCTTTCCTCCCTATGTTGTGAAGTGTCTTTTCCTGATACCGTGATATCCAGAGAGGTGGCCCGCTTAAAATCGAGAGCAAATAGGGTGACAATAAGGAGCGGGCTAATTTTCGGTGTGCAATTGAGGAAAGTAAAAGAAATGCTATTTTTAGGTCCACCTTGGTATTGCGGCGAGGGCCAATGAAGGAAAGATGACAGTCCTTCCCATTCGGCAGTGTTCGCTTGCATCCTGCGATGGCTAACTAGCTGCCATTTACGGCAAGACCATCATTTATCCAAACGCTATGATTACCAGGGGTGGGCTTTCTTTCGGTGTTTAAAATAGAATATCAAATCAAGCCAAAAATAGGGGGTGGGTTGTTTTTTTTGGGGGTGGGTCATCTCTCTGGATATTACGGTGGTTGAGTTTATTAATGCTCGTATATTGCTGTGTACAGTCGCCGATCGATTATTCGGATTTTATCGGGATCGCCCAAAAGTCCGAAGAAGTGAACTCAGTAAAAAATATGTCTTTGTTGGCACTTTATATACTAAATGGCTGAACAAACAGGTCGATAGTTAGCTGGACGGAGTTTTTCCTTTCCGCACAATGGCCTGCACCGAGTGCACTGTTTACGTCTGTGAACTTTGGAACGTCACGACAGCTTCGGTCAAGTTTTCCATTAATAAAACTATAAACAAGAAAAAAAGCGACGGACATTGAAGCGATTCTCGGAAGTTTAGACAACCATGATCCCTTCGTGGACTTGACAGGCTTCCCAGAGGCGCAGCACAAGAAGTCGAATTTAGCCGTTAAAACAGTCAATGAAGTTGAAGGTGCAGTCGGCACCATTTGACACTGTTCAGAGAGGACAGCAGAAGGCATGTGCAGAACGGCAGCGGAGAGTGCCCGGTCATTTAGATGACCACGACCCCACTGCGAAACAGCGCAAAACGAAAGTGCCAATCAAATCGACCTCGATTGCGCAAAAAAGAGGCAATGATTCCGATAACAGCCTCAATCCAGCTTCTGACAGTGCGTCTTGGCATAAAACATGCATAGAATGCGGTTTCGAGGCTACACACCAAACTGAAACTACCGTAATATACCCCAAAGGTGCACTTCGTTCAAGCGCCTACTCTTAGCATTTCCTCAACTTGGAAATTTTGCAAATCATACGTGCCCGATTTCACCGAACAAATATCCATGTCTAGATTAACCCAGTTTTCACTGAAACGTGGGTGAGCACTCGCCCAATATTTTAAGGTAACAAAAAAAAAAAAAAAAAAAAGTGGCAGATCGGTGTCAGTTTGGTGGCCGCTAAAGTGTCAGAAAAATTAGGCTATGGGGCATACATTTTCTCGATTTTCAGTCGCTGCTATACATTAACTCTACGGGGCGAATGACGGTTCCGTAATATTGTCTGAATAATTGGGCATGTCCGAAATTGCAGCAATAGAAAAATCGGTTGGTGACTATGTGTACAGATTTTGTTTTGTGGTGATAGCTGTTTTTGGTGAGGTTTCGCAGCAGATCCTGCACGTGTTTCGTGTGCGTCGTGGCCCACTACACTTGCCGGAAAAATTTATTTGACAAATTTAACAAGGGGTTGATGTCGTTACTTTGCGACGTCACAGTGGCCTGATGTGATGCCACATACGTCGCAATTTTCCCGGTATGTTTTGTGGGGTTGCTCTAAATTTCACGGGAAGTTAGTGTCATGTTACGTCATGATGGCACGTTACAACACAGTGTCGCACAAACACCGCCGGCTAAATTTAAACGCGGCAGTGTAACTGTGTGCTGCCGCATGCTGCGTCTTGGCTGTTGCCGCAGTGCATTCGCAAGACACAGCAAGGAGCCAGGAATTCTTTTCCTACCACGTGATCATCCGCTCTTGCCACTGTCTCGCAATAATGCCTTTAGACGCTGCGGGGTAGTCTCGATAGATAAATAAATGCGCTTCAGATTGTGCATGCAGAAGAGGCAGTAAAAGGGACGCTGCCTAGGTTTGGTTGAAAGCAGTAGGACACTACGAAGTCTGTTGGCAGACTCAAGTGTGGGATTGCACTAGCAAATCTGAGCGCAAGAAGGACCGTATATATAGAACCTCTTATACAGGTTGTGCCTTGAAAGGTGTAAGATGCCTTTTTTTTTCTTTGTCTTTTTCTGTTCTGGTAATAGAGAACTGTGGCCCTTCTCTGGGTTATTTCCCCTATGTGTTAGTCCATAACTGTGAGAAGGTTCAGGCAGAAGTGTAGGCTGCATCTGTTCTAAATTGAACAGACTAGAAGGCTGTCTGATGACAGTGGTTTTTGTTTTGTTGCATTACTCGAGCGTGCAACAGTCGAACATTTTGGCACACTTATATCTGACCTGAGCAGTTTATAATGAGAAAGCTTTGCCGATGAGCAGAGCCTGTGGCCTGCTGAAACAAGCCAACTTCAAGATAACACATTGCTGTGCTTTGTCTTGCCGAGAGATCTGTGGTTTGTTATGGGTCCAACGATGCGAGATGGCACAGGTAATATGGCATTTTCCTGGTTGCCATACTCTCAGCCGTGGTTGCTAGACTCTTAGCATCTCTGAAAGATTGTCAAACTCTTTGGATGGCTCTGTGTAACAAGTGACATCCGTCCCGTGCCCACATGCAGCAGGGCAGCCCGTACGCGATGGGGCCTCCCCCGCGCAAGGAGGTGGTGTTCCCACCAGACAGCGTGGAGGCGGTGCTGCCCGTGGGGACCAAGCGGCGGCGGCTGCACGCCAAGGACGTGAGCCCCCTGGAGGCCTGGCGCCTCATGATGTGCCTCAAGTCCGGCCTGCTAGCCGAGAGCACCTGGGCCCTGGACGTGCTCTCGGTGCTGTTGTACGACGATGCCACCGTGCTCTATTTCGGCCTGTCCCATCTGCCGGGCCTGCTCGAAACCCTGATGGAGCACTACCGCCGCTGCCTGGCCCTGGTGTTTGGCACAGCCGACGACCTCGAGATGGGCTACGAGGCCCCTCCCGAGGGGGAGGGGAAGGAGGACAAGAAGGAGAGCCCCTGGTACGCCCTGGACCGGGACGGCCCCACCAAAGACCCCCTGGAGGGCCTGGTGGTGCCAGCCCAGATCGAAATGGCAGACCGCAGCCCCCTGCTGCCCGGCGGGGGCTTCACGTGGCGGACGCGGTGCGGCAAGGCGGTGCGGTCGCGGCCCGACGACGAGGGCTCCCTGCACGTGGTGGACTGCGACAAGCGCTGGGACGTGCACGAGGGCTTCAGCGCCTCCCCCGAGCACTGGCAGCTGGGCGGAGGGGAGATCACGGCACACATCCAGACATGCTTCGAGAGCGACGTGCACAACGTGAGGTTTGTGCGCCTCATGGAGGAGGGGGTTAAAAGGGAGGCTGAAGAGGAGGAGCAGCTACGCGAGGAGGAGGCTAAGAGGTGCCGGTCCAAGCTGGCCGACCTGTTGGCCAAGCAGAAGGCCAACTGTAAGAGGGATCCCGTGGTGCTCGTGGAGGACATCCGGTCCAAGATGAAGCTGGAGGACGACGGGGTGCTGCTGACGCCCGTGAAGACGGAGGAGGTGGAAGAGAAGAGGGCACCCTGCAACGACTGCCGGACTGGGGAGAGCGTGGTCCTACCCAGGCTACGGGAAGAGGCGCGTCCCCGCAAGAAGCGGCCCTGTACCGAAGCGGTGGAGGAAGAAGCCTACTGCCGAGACGAGCCCTCACTGTGCGTGGTGTCGGAGGCCCGCGAGGCCCTGGGCCGGCGGTGCGTCTGCATCTCGACCCTGCTGCGCAACCTGTCGTTCGTGCCGGGCAATGACGCCGAGATGTCCAAGCACGCGGGCCTGCTGGTGCTGCTGGGGCGGCTGCTCCTGCTACGACACGTGCACGGGCCCCGGAGGGGGGCCCCTCGTCACTACGACCAGGAGGAGTGCTCGGCGGAGGAGCACTGCAGCTCCCTGCTGGCGGAGCGGGAGTGGTGGTGGGACTGGCTGCAGGCCCTGCGGGAGAACACCCTGGTCTGCCTGGCCAACATGGCGGGCCAGCTGTCCCTGGCGCCCTTCCCCGAGGAGATCAGCCTGCCCCTGCTGGACGGCCTGCTGCACTGGGCCACCTGCCCGTCGGCCTGCGCCCGGGACCCGCTGCCTCAGAGCGCCCTGAGCCCCCAGCGGCTGGCCCTGGAGGCCCTGTGCAAGCTGTCGGTCCAGGAGGCCAATGTGGACCTGCTGCTGGCCACCCCGCCCTGGGCCCGCACCCAGGGCCTGCTGGCCCAGCTGGCCCGCTGGCTGGCCCGGGGCCAGGACCAGGTGCTGCGCGAGTTTGCCGTGGTGCTGCTGTCCAACGTGGCCCCCGCGGGGAGCGGGGCTGCCCGGGCTGTGGCCCTGCAGGGGGCCTGCCTGGGCCACCTGCTGGCCTTTGTGGAGCAAGCCGAGCAGAGTGCCCTCCAGGTGGCCAACAGCCAGGGCGTGGCCGCCCTTCGTGACAACCCCGAGCTCATGGGCACCACCCTGGACATGGTGCGCCGGGCCGCCGCCACCCTGCGCTGCCTGGCCAGGGTGCCCGACAACCGGCCCCTGTTCCTGCAGCTGCAGCCCCGCTTGCTTGCCCTGGTCATGTCCCAGATCCTGGACCAGGGGGTGGCTGCCATCCTGGCAGACGTGCTCTTTGAGTGCTCCCAGCACGCCGAGGCCGCCAGCCCCTACGCCAAAGTCGCCTTCACAACTGCCCCCACCGCAACTACAACGGCGGAGGAAACGAATTCAACAACAACAACCACCACGGCAGCGGCGACGGCGGAAGTTGCGACGGAAGTAACAGCGGCGACGGAAACGACAAGAATGTCTTTGACCGCAGAGACATCACCGGCACCGGCGGAACCGGCAGAGGAAACGAGTGCGACGGAAACCACGGAAGCTGCGTCGGCCGCTGAAGTGGCCTCCTAGTGGGGCCGGCCTGCCTGCCCCACCCACCCCCATCCTTATTTATTTCACGGACAGCGGGCAGACGGACAACCCGGGTGTAGATAGCTTAGACTCTTTTTGTTAATTTTGTCCTCGACGTCGGACCTTTGGTGAGAGGGGAGCTCTCCTTTTGTGGTGATATTTGTACAGTGTGCTCTTCTTTTTTTTTTTTTTCCTTCTCTCCTCCCCGCCTTCCCGCGCGGGGGGAGGGGGTCCGTGCGGCCGGCGGCGGAGCCTCGGAAGATCTGGGGTGCCCCCTGGCCGGGACGGGTGGAAGTGCGAGCGGACGGGACTGGCTCATCTCGATCTGATTCAGTGTGTAGGGTCCTTGTTTGTGAATGCAGCAGAAACATCATCCTCTTTTATTTTTACTTTCAATTTTTTTTTTTGCTTCCGTCATTTGATATGGTATGATGTGCGTGCGTGCGCGTGCCCGAGCTTTATACATTGTACATGTCTGACAAAACGAATGAGCTGCAAATAAATGTACAGATGAGAAGTTCTCTTTTCCCCTTGAAGAAACCGATCCCTCGGAGTTGGTGGTACTGTTCTCAGAAGGCGGCTTTTTTTAAACATTTCTCGTTTTCTTTTTTTTTTATGTTGGTAGAGGTTGGTGCTTGGCAATTTGAGCAGTCCCTCCTTTTACTTTGTTTTAGTACAGTTTTGTCCCCCTTTCCCCGGTAAATTCCTACTCTTACTCGCAACATATTTACTAGTCAAACCAATTTTTGCCAGAGGGCAAGTAATGTTAAGTTTCAAGGGGGATTCCCATCTTTATTTATGGAGTTTTTCTTTTTCATTTTGGCGACGCTCCTATTATGGTGAAATAGTGCTCTCTAGGAGAGCATGCCATAATTTTTTTATTCGTGGAGAGACATAATTTAAGGAGGAGGTCTTTAATTTTTCTCATCATGCTTTTGGCAGCCATGGTTTTTTTTTTTGCCCCCTTCATTTCTAGAGTGCCACAGCCTGTGGCGAGAACAAAATCATGAAGGTACTTACGCCAAAACATCTCGAGTGAGGATGGCCACAGGACTTTTTAATTTCCTTTTTTTTTTCCTTCGTTTTCATTTTGCAGAGAGTGAGAACTGGGAGGTGCCGAAAGGACAGCTTTGTCTGCAATGCAGAATTTTTGTACTTCTGTGTCCAGAGTATTCCAGGGCTTGGTCGAGTTTTTTTCTTTATTGTGGGGATCAAGTTGTACAAAATGTATGGAAAACTTGTAAAATAAAAATGACTTCGAAAACGAGCCCAGTAGCCAAAGGTTCGTTTTGTTGTCGTGAAGGAAAAGTTCAATTTTTGGGCCCTCACCTTTGCTTCTCTTCTTGGTAGCAGCCATTGATGTTTGAATTGCATGTCCTACGATGCTACATTTCATTTTCTGGAATGAGGATCTCGTTCACATAGGGACGTCGGAAAACCTCCAGTTTCAGTCTCGCAAATTTAGGGTGGAATACTTTAAATGGTGTTTGCTGGATCTATAGTTCGTTGCAACTCAGGAACGAAGGGCGAGGGTAAGACGGGCTGGAGAGGAGGAAGCAGATGGAACGCTAAAGAGAGGAGGTTTCCCTCTCTACTTCAGGGTTCCATCTGCTTCCTCGTCCCCGGCCCCTCTTACCCTTGCCCTTCGTTCTTGAGTTGCAACGGACTATAGACAAAAAAAAGGAATTTGTACATTCAAAATCTATAGCGCTTTAAAGAAAAGAAAATGGCCCCTTTCCTGCACTACCGTGGCGAAGACATTGGTGTCGCAGGATGCGACGCTAAGCCGTCGTTTCTGCCTCAGTGGCAACTCCGGGAACATGACATAGCGGAACGAACAAGACTGAAGAGTTGCACCGTGCTGCGGCTTCCTCGGGCACCCAGTCCGGAAGGCACACCAAGCAAGTAAAGAAAAAGATGCGCACTTGGCAGGGATGCAGAAAGCCCAGAGCTCGACCTTTTAGCGCCTGCTAGGTGTAGAGCTTCGCTCTACATTTGGTCATGTAATTTTACCCGTAGGAATAACTTGGATCACCTTGAGCGAGAATGGGAGCACGGTCGATGTAACGTAGACGGACAGAAGTGCGTAAAAAAAACAGCTGTATCGCTGCAGTTTGTGAAGGGTATCTACCATAGGCCAGGGGGCAGTGGAAAGATTAGATCAGTTTTGTAGCAGCATTCAGCTAGCGCCGGGCCGGGCCAGGAGATCTCGTCCGAGCCAAGATCGCATTTGGGTCGAAGGAAGCGAAGAAGGGACACCGGAGAAGAAGAAGTCCCGCTCCTTTCGGATTCCAATTCTTCAAGTGTTGGGCATGGTGGAAGATAAGATATACAGCCACGTAGTGCGTGTTTATGAATCTGGATGAAGCCTTTAGTGGTGAATGCATAAATCGACCTGGTAAGGTGTCGCGCTCTGGTTTACTTCGGGTGCCCTAAGGTGGCGGAAGCATTGCGTCCAAATTTTAAAGAACAAACTTAACCCGAGTAAAAAGTAAAAAATCGGGCGATTTTTCCTACCTACGGCGCAAGTCTGGTATCGATGCGCTCTTGACTCGCGCAACAACTGACGGATAGTGGCGGCGGTCCCGGCGCCAACTTGCCGCCCGGTCGCGCCAAAAGCAGACAATGTTTTTTAATCGAAAACTGCGCGCGCTCGATAAAACACTCAACGGAACAAAACCGGTGGTTCGTCGAGTAATTTCAGCTACATTCTTGCTTTTGGCTCAACCGGGCGATAGCCTTGCGTCCTCCGGGCCACTGCCGCCACTGCCGCCATCTGTCCGTTGCTGTGCCCAAGGCTGCGCCAGTTGGAAGGTTCGCCTGTGGATTAGACTTCCTTGCCTTCCGCACGCTGCCATCTTTGTCTGCTAGGTTGTGCAACGCGTTCCGAGCATGCGCTGTTGCTCTGCTGCACGGTATATCAGACTCTGCACATGCGCCCACAGCTCAGTGACTCGGCATTTTTCGCCTGGGCGATAAGCGATGGAAAGGTCTTGGGAGCCAAAGTTGCGCATTCGTCCCCGTAGCGCCATTTTTTTGCGCGGCATGTTGATCCTGCTCCGCAAGTGACTGAATTCGCGCTCAAAAGCAGGGGAACGTACGCGGGGTGCGGGCAACGTCTACTTTCCTGCGCGACATTTGATTCTGCTCCTCACGTGATCGGATCTCGGCGAATTGCGGTGCGGCGGCACGTGGAAAACAGACGCGCAACTCTGGCTCCTGTGAATAACAGGTGGGCGCGCCATAAGTTGAGAAAATCGGTTATCGTTTTCTTTTACTCGGGTAAGTTTCTTCTTTGAAATTTGATGCTATGTTTCCAACACTTTTGGGCACTTCTGTTGTAAATCGTAACATATGTTACCAAGCCTATTTTTGCGGTCCCGTCGCAGCTGCCAGATTAATGGCGAGTTCGTTTCACGGCACTCGTGCCCACGCGTGCCCACTCGCAGCGTGGAGCGTGTTCGTTTCGGCCAGCACTCCACGAGTGGTTGCACTCTCAGATTTCGCTTCAGCGCCGTCACCCCACGCCAGTGTTGGGAAGTACTTTAAGTACATTGTACTTAAAGTACTACTTCAAGTAGATTTAGGAAACTTGTACTTTACTTGAAGTACATTTTCGGAGTATGTATGAGTACTTTACTTAAAGTACTTTTTTGTGGTACTTTCCGAGGAAATTACAATTCCCGACTGCAAAGTACATTCCCAAAATTTGGTTTTGTCAAATTTGTATCGCGAAATGATGCTTTGTCAACTGCGAAAAAATACTGGGAGGGGTATTCTACTCCCAGCAGAGACGTGAGCACACGACGCATCGCTTCGCTTGTTCTGGGGGCGGCTTTCCCGTAGCTTTTTGAACTCTCGCTACTTCTCGGTCGTTCAGCGCAAGTGAAGAGGTTTAAAATATTATAAGGGCAAAATTAATCATAATCTAGCACCTGAAATTGTGGTGCGGAACAATTAAACTTTCAAGTCGAAGAAAAAGACAACAGAGGTGAACGTCACAATGTTTTGAGACATTCTCTTTTGTCTCTTCCTTTGACTTGGAAGTTCCTCAATTTTTTCGCACCTCAATTTCTGGTATCACATTATGATTAATTATCACCAGCTCGCTGCACACTCACTGACGTCATGCTCTTTCTTAGTATATATTTAACACTCTTGGGTGCAAAAATCCAGTGCAAGCGGCACCAAATTCAGAAGAGGGACTTCTGAATTTGGCTAAATTCTTGAAAATAACTACTCTGTGGCCACTTGACTTTATCAAATATCCGCCGCTGTTTTTGAAAATAGGTAATGCACCCTGATTACCCCTGGGCAATGCGCACCAGTCAAAAAATCACTGTATACACGTTTGCAAGTCCGGTCTCAGGGTGCCAACAAGGCGGTAAGTTGGGCGAGTTGGTTGAACATCTTCAAACGTGAAGACAGCGCAAACAATTTGACATGGGACGAGTGAAAGAAGTGCACGGACAAAAAAGCGCTTCTTTCACTCGTCCCTTGTCAAATTTTTTGCGCTGTTTTCTCGTTCTCAGGGTGCCGCCATCTTGCCCAGTGGGGTGCGCTTGGGAGCAGCCATAATCCGATTTTGACGCCTTGGCAAGGCTTCGTAATCGGATTAGGACGTGTCCAAGCGCACCCCAGCGAGCAAGATGGCAGCGCCCTGAAGCCGGACTTCATAAAAGATTGTATTAAAATACTTGTACTTTACTTTGAAAGTATATTGTATTTATAGTACTTTACTTCAAGTACATTGCATCCAGTGTACGTATACTTATCTTAAAGTACATCACGTCTCATTTACTTTGTACTTTACTAGAAGTACTTTTTGATGTACTTACCCAACACTGCCCCACGCGTGCATGCACTCGCTGCACCAAGAAAATCGAGCGTGTGCCAAAATGCAATCCCGTCGTGTGCGGAGAGGAGCGGGAGCAGACGACGGGGGTTCGTCTAGCTACGATGTGTCCTTCGTACAACGGAAGCGAAGGGAAAAAAAGTAAATTTTCTGGTATCGCGTCCCGCGGGTAACAGAATCAAACGTTGAATTCTGTGCGTGTGCGTGCTTTATTTGCATGTTTTTCGTCGCTCTTGCCGTGCATACGCTGAAATATACCAGTGTGTAAAGAAATGCTCAGGACAAACGCATCATCGGTCCCCCGAGATCTTTATCACCACGCGTGTGCGGGTGAAAATTTTAATATTTTTCGACTAAGCTCTTCAGCAGTAACCTGTGACTGCCCAATAAACATCCGAGAAAGCTACTTTACCCGAAGTTCGGGCAACTTCATCATGTCTAACATTTACCTACGTCAGCTATCTTGCCCCGTCATATCTTGTTTGAGAAAGCTCTCGTTCCCAACGCCTTCACCAAGGCTAAAATCTGATTCACCTGTAACAACGATCGAAATCTTTTAAGTTCCACGAAACGTTTTGCTGGATATTTCAAGAAACTAGTTTTAAGCCGCACCCTTTCAGTGGTTCACGCATAATAGCATGCTCAAACGGATCAAGCTTCTGCGCGGACAGCCTCGTAAGTTTTTTCCAGTGTGAATGGTTATAAGAATTGAAATATCGCAACCAGCTGCTTTGCAGTCAGCTTCTTGTTCGATGTGTCTTCACATCGAACAAGGAGTAAAACTTTGTTGTACTGGCATATCAACAAAATGAGTAGTTAACGGGACTATAACGATATCGATAACAGACCTACGCTCAGTCCGACAAGGTTGCCCTATGTCGCCACTTCGACCTTTATATCGAGCCTCTACAGAAGCATAATTAAGGACAGTGTTGTTCGAGGTTTTTGTCTTTACAGCTGTGAAGTGAAGCTTCTGACCTACTCAAATTACCTTGTGCTTGTGTGTGCCAACAAGTCAAGCATAGAAATTGCGATGTCATGTGTTTCAGTCTCCTGTAACGTCTCAGGTGAGGCATTGAACAAAGAAACAAAAAATGTAGAACGTGGTGTGCGGAGTGGGGCACTACCCCACCTACCTTTGTAGACATTCAATGTTCCACAGCGAGGCCACAGCTCTTGGGAGTGCCGTTGAGTGGAATGGAAAATCCAAAGTCAATGTGAAACACTGTTGCCAAGAGCGTTAAGACCGCAGCGCATATGTCGCACCTAAGATATATTTCAACATTCGGTAGAGTCAACCGATCCTTCTTAGACGCGTGCACTAAAAAAAAGCTAGTTAATCATCTTCTACTTTCACTGCTTCCAGACCGAATGTTTTGCATCGCCCCCTTATGCCCCTCCATTGAATTGCAAAACAGAC